GAGTCAAACATTTTTGAAAATTCCTGTGTAAACCTTTTCCAATTTGATTTTATTTCTGGAGGTAATACTGAAAACCATTTTTGGGATGCGCCATCTAAGGTTATTTGTATCAACGCTGTGCGTCGATGTATCCAGTTTTGATGTAGTGGCGTATTAATTGGTTCAGGTCCAATGTTTAAAATCAAGTTTGCTGTTACTGCATTTAAATAATCTTCTACAGAGTATTCAGGGTCTGTTCCTGTGAAAACCATTAAAGGTTTGTTTGATGTTATTGATGATCCACCCATAAGGTATGGATTCATTGTGATTTGCAATGATTCTGCTGCATTTGGCATTTGAGAAAAATTTGAAAGTTGGTTTCTTGTTATTTCATGTTGTTGAAGATAATATGGGAGTGGTATTTCATTTTGCATTTGTGTTGGTTGATACGAGTGTGCAGTCATTGGATTTTGTTGTTGAATTGGTTGAAAAGATTGTGTATTAATTGGATTTTGTTGCTGAATTGGTTGTTGATATTGTGTATCTATCGGTTGTGGAGAAAAAATTCTATGATTTGTATGTGGTTTCTGTGCTCCTTGTCCACGATATTCTTGAGTATATGGTGCAAATATATCTGGTTGTAAGAAATCATCATCTGAGGATAAATAATCCATTTGTTAAGATGTCTGTTTTTTATTTTTATTTTGTTGAAAAAATGGGTAATTTTCACTGTGATCCTGTGGAGGATTTGTTTGGAAATTTACTGAATTAGATTGGGCCATTGGGTTATCCCAATTTCGAGATCTTGTATATTGGTTAAAATTTCTTCGTGGTTGATAATTTGTTTTTGATGGATGTGTATAATTATAATTATGGTCTGCAAAGTTGTTTCTAGTGAATGTTTTGCGTGTTTTTGGTGGTATTGTCATAAGTCTGTATGTTTGGTAATCCATATGTGAATATTTAGGGGCAACCGAAGGTTTAACGGTTGATTGTAAGGTTACCTGTGTTTGTGAAGGATTTGTATTTCTTGGTGTTGTTAAGTTTGGACGTATTGGTGAAATACTTTGTTGTGTAGTTGTTGTGTGTACAATTTCTTCATTTATGAAGTGTGATGGTGTCTGGATATCTTGTTGAGTAAGATTCCTAGTTCCATTGAGGTTTTCATTGTGTATAACTGTAGAGTTTAAACTATTATTTTGTGTATCGGGCAAAAATGTATTATAGTTTAATGGTGTTGCATCAATGGTTAATGGTATTACTTTTACATAATCTCTTATGTAAGATATCGTACTTATTGCTTGACTTGAGATTGATTGTGGGAAGCTTATAAATGCGGGATGAGACCATTCGGGGTCCCAAACATAGTCTGATTGTTCTGTGATAGCGGTATCATCGTTCGAGTTTTGGGGTCTAAAATTTTTTCTTGCTTGTGCAATTAAATCAATATTGTGTGTGAAATAATCTATTATGAACCATGCCAAAATTTTTTGTAGATCGTGTTTTGTATGTTGTGAAACTTCGTCTTTCGTGAAATTTTCTTTAATGATGTTTAAATAACTAGAGAGTAGTGTGATCTCATGTCGTACTCTTATATGTTTAGATGTTTCTGTCGGTGAGACATTTGTTATTGGGATTTCGTTTTCTAATATCGAGATATAACTATATATTATTGCGAAAACTTCATTGGTGAATATGGAGTTTGCTCTTTGTGAGTTATGATATTGGATGCTTTTTATATATTCTGAAAATACTTTTGAAAATTCTAAATCAAGATCGTCTGTTTGAATTATATATTTACTATGATTATGGTTGGGTGAGTTGAATTCTATGGAGTAGATTCCATACTGTTGTGTTAAGTTACATATATTTTTTAGATAGTGATCTATGATTTGTCTTTTGATTTTTACATCTGGGAACTCTGTTTTACATGGACTTATTCCGGGTTCAAATAAATTTAAGAGTAAATTTTTGCAAAATATATGCTGTCCTCTATCAGTGGTTGCATCTACTATAAAAGGGAAGATTTCATCATCATCTGGGGTTTCGTCACCTGGGGTGTGCGTTGAGCTCATTTTTTCGTTCGATGACTGTTAATATGTAATTATTAATGTGTCGAATTGGTTGATTCCAATTGTATAAATGTACTGGTTTGTGTTTATACTGCTTTTTTATTCTTCTTTTTCCTCTTTTTGATGAATTTGAAGTTGTTTCTGAGTCAGAGAAATATAATTGATCGTGAAGTGGGCAACTTTTATCTATTGATTCTTTTAGTTTGTAAAGTTCGTCTAAACTGTTGGTTTCTGATTCTGAAAATGCGTTTCGGTTTTTTGAAAATCTTTTTCGTGTTATTTGTCTTTGTTTAGTTATTATTTTTCTCTTTAGTGTTTGTCGTTTTGTTCGAATGTATCCAACTGTTTGTGTATGAGGTGTGATTACAAGGTCGTATTTTTTGTTATCTATTTCACAATTGTGTAAAACGATGGTTTGTTTATTTCCTAGGTTTTTAAATGACATAAGGTTTAGGATGACGGATGCAAAGGGTTGTTAAGTGATTTCTAATTACCTAAACTGTTAGTCCTTACGATTTTTTGGTTAGCTTAACCTGGGTCTATTTGTTCAGGGTTGGAGAGAAAAGTATATCTATTCCGGAGAATGATTTTTACTTTCTCGTGACTAGTATAAGCTAAGGTGTTAACTTACTTAACCTTACTTAGGGGTAGTGATTGTGTTCAAGGGTTGGAGAATAGTAAATCGATCCACAAGGTTCAGGTATAATTAGAACGCGAGTAGTTCGTTAGATACTATTTTAAACTTACTAAGTCTAAGATTTATCCTGGGTCTGGTAAGAGGTGGGAGTTAAGTGAAGGATGAATAACCGAAGTTCTTCACTGTTTATCCTAATTTGAATGATTAGTTTTGTTTAAAAATTTCTATTAGTCTTGGGTCTGTAGAAAGGGTTGGATAGTGAATCGACGTTTGAGGTCGTTAGACACTAGTTAAGTGGGTGGGGGAGAACAAAATTGTTCTTTTTGATCCAAGGATAGGCCTTGATGATCAAGTTCGAAATTTAATTAACTAGAAAATGATTTAAGATCCAAGGATAAGCCTTGATGATCTGATTTTAAAATTAAGTGAATTTAAGTTTTAATAAAGATTGAAATTTATTGTAAAGAAAAGATTTAGTGTTTTGATGATATTAGTGAGCTTATGATTGCTGTTATGTTTTAGCTGATGAAGCTGGGGCAACAGAATGATTTATGATTACTAACCATTTATTGTCATGCTACTAATTTTTATTTTTGTTTTACAATAAATATTTTTCAAACATGTTTTGTATATTACTGCAGAGTTTAGGAAAACGATCTGAGATCTTTTTATCAATCGTTATTGTATATTAATAATTTTGTTTAGCGCCTGAAATGATTTTGAAGATTAACTTCAAGGTTTTATGTTTGCAAATGAAAATCTAAATTCATTGCCAGTAGTATTCTAAATATAAAAGTTTGTTCTGGTTTTTGCCTAACTATCATATAGCTATATGGCAAGTTTCTACTTTGTCGTATGTCGTCTCTGGTTCGAGGTCTTCTTCCAATTCCGGGTAGTTCTGTTATGGTTCGGAATATTGGCTTTGATCTATTGAGTCGTAGAGACATTTCGATTAAATTATTGTCGTATAACATTTTGTAAATGTTTTTGTCTAATTTCTAATCTATTTTGGTTAATTCTAAGCTATTAAGGTCTTGTTCGAGACTTATGGTCGCACCAGATGAGTTATGACCTTTGGGTATAACTCATAGAGTAATTTCGGATAGGGTACACCGTCTGCTCGTCACGCTATCTTATTTTCGGCCGGATAGATTCGTGCAACTTCTTAGTCTAATACCGATCCTAATCTTACTCTTATACTATCTAGTCTCAGGTTGTTTAACTAGTCTCTGCTAGGCTCAATAGATCTAGGGTATACTGGTTTATTGCGGCTGCTGAAGTGCTCGGGAGAGTTCAACTAATTTCTAAGTTAAATTCAAATCTCTCTGGTGCTGAAATTACAAGTAATTCCAGCACTTACAAATAAGTGGGTTGTTAGTTATATGGATCATGATTGGTTAATATTAAATACTTTACATTGGTAAAATATCTAATTTATCCAATCATAAAATGTAGTTTAGATCAGGTTCCAGTAGACCTAAGAGAAACAAAAGTTTCAGAGAGCGAGTTTCCAGTATGCAAAAACGATAAGTACTGACGATGCTTTAACATAGCTAACAAACAGCGGCAAAAGTTTCAACGAAATCCAGCAAATTCAAGAAAAAAACAGTCTTTTTTATTTTCGAAATTCGGCAAAATAAATACTAGATTGACGCTCTTTTAATTTCAGGAAAATTATACGAGCAACAATTTTTGTCATTAATCTAGCCCAAATTTCTAAGAGCGCAATAATTGCCTTCTGGATAATTTTTTATTTCCCTAGGAAATCTGAAAACTAAATTCCCTTTTCAAAATAAGAAGTAGATCACGTTTTTTGTGACTTGTACAATTTTGCTGTTCGATAGTGGAGTCTACCTTCCTTTTCACAAAAAAAGTGAATAAAAATAAACCAAAAAGTCAAATCGCGAAAAAGTAAATTTGGGCCTGAACAAGAAATCATCACGATCTGTATAAGAGAGTCTGAACTACGTTCATCGATACTTGAGCAAACGTCAGCAACTGTTAGATCAAAATTCGAAATTTATCTGGAGAAAAACACTTCGAGCAGAAACATTCCATCTCTTTCTTCATAAGTCGGAAGAACATCAACCACGCTGCGCTGTTGAAAAAGAGTCAAGTCCAATTCCACCATTAAGACCTCACGAAAAGATAAAGACAAAAACTTTTAATTATTACGAAACAGTGAGATGTAATTGCTGAAAATTGTTAGTTTATTCGCATAAAATTAATAATCAATGTGTTCAGACTTGTAAAGTGCAAGAGTCAAGTTTCAAATCATCGAAACACTAAGTTCATTCTCTGACGCCAACATGTTATGCAAATGGACTCCACCCAATCCAACTCCTTCCTAGAATGTTGGGATCTGTGGCCTGATCTATCAAACAGGTGACCTGTTGATCAGTGTTCAAACTTATCTCATTCTGCATGCTCCACCTCTCACTCCCTTTCTCCCCTATTATTATCCGGAGCAAACTGGCCGAATCTTTCATGACCAGACTATTCAAGTCCAGTTCTTCTGACTTCATTAACAACATGGGGTTTCCACCGTTCAAGTTCCTCTTCACGCAGTTCAGTTTCTGCTGCGGGTACCACGACAATTTTGTATCGTCCAAATGTTCATCTAAATTACCTGCACGACGCATTGCATGTACTTGTCTGTTCGCAAACTCGACCCAATCAATCACCGGTTCCCTCAAAAACACCTGCAGAATGTTCATCAATGCCTCCTGATTCTCCTGCAGCGCCTCCAATGTTTTCAGCATGGTCGCATGAACAATTCCACCAGATGGCGAGACCTTCGGAACAGTCAGGCCAGCCATTAGAGGGGTCATTCGAAACGGGGTCAGCTCTGGAACGGGCAAGAACTGAGTGGCTGTTCCGAACGCATGGCCGAAATCAATGCCCACAGCTGTGCATGACTTCAGATCCACCAGTGTGTTACTTGTGTATCTGTCGCCGATTCCCAGAATATAATGAGCCAGACTCATGCAATTGTAGCTTCGAATAAATCGATCTCTCAGAACAATGAACGCATCAGCTGAAATTGATAGCTTTTCTGAAACTCAATTCTCCGATCTTTGATGACGATTCTCGGAGACACTGTTGTGCTTCTGGTTGTTTCGCGCCTTTTGTCCAGAGATAGAAGAACTTCTGAAAATCTTTCCCTGGTCCCAAATAGCCGGTGACCATTTTGTGCATGTTTTTCTTGGCGTCGTCCACTTTCTTGGCTCCACATGCCTGTTCAAAGAACATTTGGTATGTGGTTGTATTGGGAACCCACTGGATCAAACCCAACTTCAAGGTCATAGGAGTTACATCATAGGTGTTGACGACCAGTTTGCGCTGCTTCGTCTCCGAATTCTCTTCTAGAAATTTGTTCATCAGCTTGAACACTTTCATCAGACGGCCATCTTGTCTTAAATCTTCTCCTCCCTTCAGCAAGACTATGAAAATTGGGGAGGAAGAGGGGGTTTTCTAACAATGGAAATGCACTGAACTTAAAAAGAAATAACAAGTCAAACCGCGAAAAGTCAAAATTGAGCGTGAACCAACTTCAAGACTTTTTTCTGAAAAAAAAACAAAAGACCGATATAAGAGTACTCACTACGTTCATTACTCTTAAAAAATTAATGACCTGATTTTACTGGAATTATACCTCACCCAATCGCACGTCCAAACCATCCAAATGTTAAGTCTACTTCCCTACCCAAACGGCCAACGGCTCTACTGACGGTAGAAACCAAAAACTGGTCAATGATAAATTGGAGAATACATGCTTTTTAACTGCCAATGCTATGCAACAAAATTTCTACAAATTGAGCTCTTTTAAGTGGAAGTTGTCTTGAAAAAAGTGAACTTTGTAATATAACACTACGCTCACTAGTTGGGTCGCGAAAAGATTTTACGTTGGTTAGTTAGTCTCCAGTCTGATTGTTTTCAGTTACCGCTGAGATCTTTTTCAATTTGTTAAGACTGAAACTAGTGGAAAACAAATTTGCCTCCTATGGCAAACTATCGCCATTGAAACATTGAAACTTCAGATTCAATCAACACATGCCGATGAAAAGAATTTATTCATTTCCTCTTAATTAAGAAAAACAGAAAACAAACGATTAGACTCACGTCACCAAATCAACTTGCATTTTCTAGAACTAATAACTCTAACAACTAATAACTAAGTATAAATAGAGATTTGCTCGACTTATGACAAGACAAATTTTTCAGCATAGTTTTTGGCAAAAAGACTGTGGCCTGCAGTCTAATAATAAATCTGCACTCAAGTTATGATAAGGAAGCTTTCAAGTTAACATAAGGAAATCATCAACAAATGTAGCCTCGGGGAGCAAAAAGAAAACAAGCGAGTTTCATTCACGTGTCCATTGCAGAAGACCAGCACAGGTGATCTGTCTTTGTTTGTTAGGTTACTTGCCTCTAGTTTTTGATGAAGTGGTTCCACAGTTGCTTGACGACTTTCTTGTCGTTGATTTGGAATCTGTTGTTAGCAAAGTTGGTGAACTTCTCCTCTGTCTCGGGCATGGCCACTTTACCCTCAGAGAGAAAATTCTTGGCCGACTCAAATGTCCACGTCACAGGCATCGACTTCCTTTTCTCTTTCTTAGCTACAAACAAACACGCATTGAAAAACTTATTCAAATTCCTGTTGGTACATCTTAGATTCATTAAAAACCATAACTAGAAATGTAAGTAAGACAGAAGCGAAGTTCATTTTAACGGAAGTACTGTAATAACGGAGAAGATACAGAACACGTACTCCTACATTGCAGCATCTGGGATAAAGAGCGGAAGGACACACTTGGAGAAAACCGAAACTAGACGTACTTCAAACAAATACAACCGCCGTCTTGGAATACTTGGGGAGAACTGGGGTTTACCCCCCGTCAGCACTGCAGACGGCCTACAACTAACAACAACAACAGTTCATTTTAACGAACATAACCAACAGACAGTTGGAAGATAGTCAATGAATGCAAGTAAACAGAAAATAAACTGACTTGTTTTATAAAAAATCTCTTTTCGAAAAACTTTCGAATTTCTAAGAAAAAAAATAGATGGTCTTAAATCTTTGATTTTCAAGAACTTACGACTGATACTTTTCTGATAAAATTACCCCATTTTAGAAAAACTGTGGGGTAAAAAAAACTTCCAAGAAAACAAAATTATTAGAACTATTTGAAATAAAGAGGCGAGGCTGCGCTTCGCAAACACAAGCAAGAAAACGACAAAAATCAGCTCCATAAATTGAAATAAGAAAAGAAAAGATAAAAATAAGCGTTGAAAATTAGAAACTTCGCTACGGCGGATTCGATTGTAAGACTGGGAAATTTAGAGTACCCTGTCCTCGTAATTGCATCATGGACCTTTTAAATTTACTCAGCAATCAAGCAGCTACACATGCTAATAAATTGCAAAAGCGATGCAGTAAAAGTGGCAGCAAATCTAGATGGACACAATTTTGCATGTAATAAAAAGAAAAACACAAAGCCAAATTATGTATAAATTATGCTTTGCAAAAAAAATTAGATACATTAATAAAAAAGTTTCTGAAATCGAGTTTTTATTATTGTAGTTGTTTGAAACTGTTGTACCTACTAACTGTGTTAACTCCAGCATCAAAAAAGCCACCAAAAGTAGCATTACTTTTTCTAACTTAGGTAGGAAAATATAGTAGTCGTACTATATACACTACGCTCACAAGTGGATCATTAGGTTAATTCTCATTTCGCTGAAAAATCTAAAACTAAATTCAATTATCAAAATTAGAAGTCGATCACATTTTTTGCGATCTTTACACTTTTGCTGTTCGATAGGAAATGCTGTAACAAAGGAAAAAAAACTGAGCTTAAGAAGAAATCAAAATCAAACCGCGAAGAAATATATTTGAGCATGAAAAATTTTCAGATTTTCCTGAACAAAAAATATGAAAAGAAAAAACATCTACATTGATCGACTGAACTAGATTAATCGACTCTTGAAAAGACATATGCCGAGAAAGATAATCGTCAGCGTTCAAATATCATCAGACAAAATTAGTGGCAACAAAGCCAAAAATACTTGGGTAGACGCCAGTTGGTCCATAAATTTTTCAAAGTTAAATCCATCCGCTCTCGAGAAGCACAAGATAACCAAAAAGATTTATGTTCAAACAATATAAACAAAAGCATGGATGTTAAACTTAGTAATTATAGGAACAACACAAAAAGCTGTAAATATAGCTATTATCAACTCAAAACAGTCTGTGCTGTGGCAACTAAGCCAACAAACGATAGTCAGACATTTTTTCAAGGTGAATTTTTTCAGATAACAAACTAACAGAACCAGGCCAGATTCGAACTCAGGACGTTTGTCGTCCCAGGCATAGAAACTATTGTTCCCGCTTCGGTCACGGCTGGAGGGGTCCCAGTGTCATCCGCCTCCTCAAGGTGGGACCGGCTGCGGCAAAATGGATGATATCTCCCCCTCCCCCACGGTTGGTCCTGCACTGAGCAGGCCGGGGGCTAATAAAAAAAAAAAAAAAAAAAAAAAGAAACTATTGTTCGGCTAAGTGGTCCACAGAAGTTACTATTTATAAGGGAACTTAGCCGACATATTTATAGCAGAATAACCAAAGAGCCGAAAAATCAAATCGAAAATAATTCTGAAGAACACAAAGGAAATAAAAAATATCCAGCAGACAGTTTGAAGAGGGTAGACGAACAAAAAAAAACAAAAGAAAAGTTGATTGAAAACAAATAAACCTTTTCTAAGTTTTTTTGATTTCAAACAATGTTTATGAGTGGCATCATCAACCACTCTTAAACACTGTTTATAGTCGTTGATGATTTCAAACACTTTTTATGAAGGTATATAAGTATGTTTGATACAACAACCATTCGTATGAGTTATGCATTTCAAACCTTTCGCAAATTATACTGAGTTGGAAATTTTCTGAAAAGAAATTTGTTGTTTTACTGTTGTATCAAACAAACATTGCCGACAGACGCTTGGAAAAAAGTCAATGAACACCAGAAAACGCAAAAAAAATTATCTATTTTTGAGCGGTCTAATTTCAAAATAAAACAGCCAACAGACAATTGGAAAACATTCGATGAACGCGATTAAACCGAAAGAAAAAATTAGTGGCAGCAAAGCCACAAATACTTGGGTAGACGCCAGTTGGCCGATAAATTTTTTTAAGTTGAAATCCATCCGTTCTCGGGAAGCACAAAATAACCAAAAAGATACTATCCAATCAAACAATATAAACAAAATCATGGATGTTAAAATTAGTAATTATAGGAATAGAACAAAAGGCTATAAATATAATGAAAATTAATCAACTCAAAATAGTCTATGCTGTGACAGCAGCCGATAAACTATAGTCGAACATTTTTTTCAATGAATTTTTTTTTTCAGATAACTAACAAACCGGTCCAGGCCAGATTTGTCGACACAGGCAAAACCTTTATTGTTAGAATAAGTGGTCCAGAGATATTTTTTATTTATGAGGGAACTTAGCCGATATATTTATAGCAGAATAACCAAAAAACCGAGAAAAATCAAATCGAAAACGAATCTCAAAAAGACGAACGAAATAAAAAAACTTCCAGCAGACAGTTGGAAGAGGATAGACTAACAAGAAAAACCAAAAAAAAATGATTGAAAACATTAAAAAAAAACTTTTTTACTTTTTTCCGATTTCAAACACTGTTTATGAGTGGCGCTTTTTTCGTAGAGTTATCCCATTTAGAGGAAAATGGATCATTCGGTTTTTTTATTCCGCTGGGAATTCAGAAAATTAGAAACCACTTTTGAAGTCGATCACGATTCCCACAACGCTGACGAATTTGCTGTTCGATACTGCAGTTTGTCTTCCTTTCAACCAAGGAGATCATGAACTTCAAAATAAATCAAAAGTCAAACCGCAGAAAAATCTAATTTTAGCGTTAAGAAACTAAAATTTTCCTGGAAAAAAAAACACTAATACCTATATAAGATTCTTCACTAGTTCAATGATTCTTTAAAAAAGCTTGAAATGTTGCTTAATATGCTACTGCATAACAACACATACCTAAATAAATCGAAAACTAAGACGATAGCGCTTAAGTCTGCAACCATTAAGGAGAAAGATCACCAACCACAAAATGTTAATGTTGAAATACTAAAAATAGCATTAGCACAGAGACAAACCTGCAGCTTTACAAACAACAGAAAGTGGAGAAAGTGGCAATAGATTCAGAAGCTTCAAAAAGCACAAAAACACAAACTTGATTGTACTAATTTGGAGTTTTACACACTACGGGCGACCATTTGTTTGAATTATGCATTTCAAAAATTTCGCGAAACATACTGAGTTGAAAAATTCCTGAAAGAATCAATATCCTACCGTTGTATCAAAGAAACATCGCCAACAGACAGTTGGAAAAAAATCAATGAACACGAGAAAACAGTAAAAAAAATGACTTATTTATGAGAAAACTTCAACGATCTAATTTCAAAATAAAACATAGCCAACAGACAGCTGAAATACATTCAATGAACGCAATTAAACCAGAAAAAAATCTCACCTTTTGAATTTCAGAGACAAACGAAGACGGCCTTGAAGCTCTTTGGGTTACTAGAAAAATTTTAGATTGTCACTTTTTCGATAAACTTAACCCAATTTGAGAAAACTTGATCAATTAGTATATTTTTTATTTCGCTGGGAAATCTGATAATTAAAATCCATTTTCCAAATTAGAAGTCGATCACGTTTTTCGTGAAATTTACAATTTTTCTGTTCCATAATGGAGTTTGCCTTCCTTTTAGCAAAGAAAATGAACTGAACTTCAAACAGAAACAAAAGTCAAACCACGAAAAATTGAATTTCAGCGTGAACAAATTTCAAGACTTTTTTCTGGAAAAAAAACAAAAGACCGATATAAGAGTACTCACTGCGTTCATTACTCTTAAAAAAGATCGTATATATCTAAGTGCAATCATAAATGCATGAATAAGTATGAATGCATATATGTAGCTAGTAGAGCATTTTCAACTTTTTCCTGAAAAAAAAAAGACAAAAAAATCACCAAGACCTATATAAGAGTCTTCACTACGTTCAACGACTCTTAAATAGCTTTTTTCGCCTCAATTGATGAACTAAAAAAGCATCTACTGTACTAATTTATCACAACTCAAATGTCAAAACACGGTATTACTGTTCCAATGCAGCCCTCTGATTCAAAAAAGTGGCATCAAAAGTAGCCTTTTAGTTTAGACTTAGGTTGGAAACAAAAGTTGCAACGTACTATCATACTGAGCTTCACATGTTTAATCGGTAGTTACTGAGTAGCAGTAGGTAAAACAGCAGTAGGTTATTCACAGAGGCAAAGTGGATGCTCGAAAGACTTGCGATACAACAAAAACATTGCGTTACAAGCTAATGAGTAGAAAAAGAGAACATTTACGTTGAAAAATTCATGATTGTATTAGATGATAATCACAAACAGCCATATAAATCATTAGAAATCCTTTGCTGAGTAGTAACTAATGCGATAATGCGTTTTTTTAAGCTTCAAAGTTTGTACCACCAATTCGTAATACAAAAAAAAAAACGCATTAAGATATATTTTGCCTTCAAAACTATACAATATAAGTTGACTAAGCCGATATATCATTCACCGAAACTGTTTAAACGAAAAACACTAATTAAGTCTTAGTAAATTTACAAATTGTAGAATTTTCAATGAGTGAATAACTGTTTAAATTTAAATAAAACCAATGCATTGGAAAGTATGCCAATAAAAACTCAAGTGGTACAAACTGCATTTTTGAAAAATGGACAATGCACCGACCGAAATTAGGATGAAAGCCGATTAAAACATAGCCAACAGACAGTTGCATAAGTCAATGAACGCATTAAAACAGAAAAAAAAAGGCCGACTTGTTTTTCGAAAAAACTTCAACTTTCGAATTTCAGAGAAAGAAATAGATTAACGTAAGGATCTATGAATTTCTAGATTATTTTATGATTGGAATTTTCTGTTAAAATTAACCAGAAAGCTGGATCAATAGGTAAATCTTTTATTTCGCTATGAAATCTGATAATTAATTTCTATTTTCGAAATTAGAAGTCGATCACGTTTTTCGTGACCTTTATAATTTTGCTGTTCGATAGTGGAGTTTGCCTTCCTTTGACAAAGAAAATGAACTGCACTTAAAATGGAATCAAAAGTCAAACCACGAAAAATTGATTTGAGCCGGAACAAGTTTTTAAGGCTTTTCCTGAAAAAAAAAAATCATCGCGACTTATATAAGAGTTTCTTAAAAATAAGAATGTTTCTTTAAAAATACGACTGCCTGAAACGAAACAGGAACGAAACCACCTAAAAACTATATTATCTAAAGTATAATAAATTCATTTACATTTTCCAAGAAAATGAGCATGTCAGCATTCTGCACGAGAAATTAACCATTTCTAGTAAATTGGACATTCTGTAAACGAAGTTGTTCTCGGTGAAAGTCTAGCAACGGTTGCAACACCCAGCAGCAAAAAAATTTCTGTTTACAAATGAAATTTCGAACCATCAATTAGTCTTAGAACTGATTGAAGCTCAGGATTTTTTAATGATATTTTCGACAAAACTGATTTTTAAAACAAACCATTTTTGAAATTCGAAACAAAGTCAAAGAGGAACATGGATAAAAGCAGTAGCGGTTTTAGGAGAGGGGTCGACCCTTTGATACAATTATACAGCATCCATTTTTGACCCAAAATTTTTTAAAGATGCCTAAGGCGCTACTAAAAAATCAACTTACAGCGGAGCGCGCGCCCAATAGAGGCAAATTTTTCTACAGAGTATGGTTTTTCAGGGGGCTCGCACAATAAATTTGGTCGAACTAAAAACAATCGTTTTAATTTTTTGAATCTTTAAATCCTAGATCCACGAATTGATAGTCGGTTGCTGGACAAGTAGCACTGAATGTTTCGACCACCTTTATGCAAGAAAAGCAATATAACAAACGAAAAAATTTATAAAAACAAAATTTTTCTGGGCAGTGGGAGGAGTGCAATTAGATAATATTCTGCAAGAATGAGGTAATTATAGCAAAAATAACCTCAAAATAGCTTAGTAGAATTGGATAGGAATTCATTCCCTCTCATTCTTTAGTGTAGATTAGACTGAAAAACGTTAAAACTCAGACAACTTTTCATTTCTTTTGGAATCCGAACCACTCACAGTTAACAATGCTTTAAAATGATACCAAACTTGTTCCTCTATGAACTTTTTTGAAGCACCCAAAATTAAGCAGAAACCCACCCTAAAAAGCTTGAGAGGTCAAACTGGATGACTTAAAGCCAAAAACCGATCAATTTTTATGAAAATCTCTTCATTTCTGAGTCATTTAAAGTCTCCACAAACCAAACAAAATGCTAATAACCGAAACTTAATGTAAGCGACCGAATTCATTGATGCAATCGATATCATTGATTTCCCTCGTTTTTAACAGATTTAAGTAGTAAAATTTGGTTGCTATGTTTCGTAAAGACATTGTTGTTTCAATTAGCAAGAATGCTCCATTCTTTTTGAACCTGAAATATTTTTTTCTCGAAACCAACATGGAACACTACCGAGAACACGACCAAAAGGAGCTCTAATTAAAAAAAGTTAAAATAAGCCTCGAATTAGTAAAAATTCGGCTACGTCTGAGATTCGAACCTGCGACAAAGAGAATATGAGTCTCGCGCACTAATCTCTTAGCCACGGACGTTTAATATCTGCAAAACACTAGCCAAAAATAAAGCAGAGAACAGCTGCTATGCAATTTTTAATGCTACAGTTCAATCTCCAAATAAGTGAACATTTTTGATGAACACTTTTTTTGCGAGTTACGTTAGAAAAAAAGAAGGTTCGCAATAATACACTAATCTGAACGCTAGTGTAATTAGCCACTAGCGAGCAGCTTGTAACTCTCGCTTGTGTAAACATTTCACTTGCAACAGAGAAGAGACTACGCTATACTTCTAGCTTACATTTCTTTCCCGAAGCTGATGTGCTTTCTGAGTTGACAGCCTGTGTGTTCTCTTTTATCTTCGAGTCTGTTGTCCCTTTCGTCGGCTGGGCAGCTGGCGGCTCCGAAGCTCGCTTGTCTTTATTCTTCTTCGCACTTGTTGCAGTACCTGAAAAAAAGGCAGCTCAATTTCAATTTCGTCATTTAAAACTACCCCAGGCTCCGATTATAATAGGAAAAGTTAGTTAGCTTTCGTGAGTTTGGTCTTATCGAAGAAATCAGCAGAATTAAAACAAAACTGGCTTCATTAAAAACTACACAGAATTATGCAGAAAAAATTGGAAGCCAGCGTGAGCTTTCATCGCAGAATTTGTACCATTCATTTGCTGTTGTTGGAAGACAATTGGAAAAAAGTCCATGAACGCAGGAAAACAAAAAATAGACTTATTTTTTAGAACTCAAATTTGAAAAAAATATTGCCTTAAGCTCTGGGAATTTCAAGAAAACTTTATGATTAACACTTTTCATGATAAGTTTTGATGCTAAAATTAATCTAATTTGAGGAAACTGGATCAACAGATAAAATTTTTATTTCGCTGGGAAATCTGAAAATTAAATTCCACTTTCGAAACTAGAAGGCAATCACCTTACAATTTTGCTGTTCGATCGTCAAGTTTGCTTTCCTTTAAGAAAAAGTTATTGAAAAGTCAAAAAATACAAAATCAGAAAACTTCCAAAGAGCTTCCAAAAATTTAAAAAGTAAACAAACCTTTCTTCCGGACCCAAGCCGCCAAAAAATTAGCAGACACAAAAGTCTAAAATATTCGAACATTTTCAGCTTCCACAAAAACAGGTCCCGACTGGAATCGATATTGTTGAATTCGTCGTCTAAAGAATGGGTGTTACCACTGCACCAAATGCACAGAACACTCCTTGAATTTATCAAGAAAACAAATTCCAAAAAATATTATTGAACAGCATGAAAAACATCGAAAAGTACCAAAAAATGAACAAATTTCTTGGAAGTCAATAAGTTGCCCAAAACCGGAAAACATTGAAATTTTATTTAATTTGAGTGTAAAATCCCAATGTTTAAGCAAACTTGGTGCTGCTGCAACAAAGCTGGCAAAAAAGCCGAGAAACAGAAGCTCGGCAAAGATTTTCTAACTCGCGGACAATTTTCCGCTTACAAAAAAAAACACAGAGGCGAAGTTGCACTTCGCATACACAAGCAAAAATTTGACCGACAACGCTACTGGGAAAGCTGAAGGAGTAAAATTTTGAGTCTACAAAAGTTCTTAAGTGATGCACGCCAATTATGAGTCTACATAATTGCTAAGTGACGCAAGCCAACTATGACGCATTAGCAGTACCAGTCAATTTGAAAAGAAGTTTATCAACTAACATGCCTCAATCTATAGAGCGGACGCATTTTAACTAGTAAACGAAAAAGTTCATTAAAAACCTGCGACCCTGCTGAGGTTCGATCCCTCACATTTTGCTGCTGGTCTTCTTCCGTACCTCAACGCTAAAGAACCATAACACCATGAAGCTAAAGTGCTATTTGTAATACAATAGTGTGTTTTATTATCCTTAACATTTGCTGTACTTAATCGCTGGTTATTGATCTTATGCATATACTGCAAAAAAGAGCACCTGCAAAAAGAGCACTAATATTTGCGACTTAGGTTGGAAAACAAAGTGAGTTCGTAATATCACACAAGCTTTGCTTGTGTAATCAGTCGAGTGTCAACATTTATTATACTTGCCTTCATCATCGTCTTCTTCCTCCAAGATGTCTTCAACATCGTCGTAATCATCATCTTCTGAGTCGTCCAAATCCAACTTTGCCTTCAATTTCTTAATTTCATTTAAATGTTTTTCGTATTCTCCCTCGTCATCATCCATGTCACCTTCTCCATCTTTGCTTGTTTCTAGCATCGGTCTAAAATAGAAACTATACAATTACTCGATGGCTAGTACCTATTCGGAAAAACAGCTAAAATATATTCTTGTCTTTTTTAGCTTTCTCTGCAAAATTAAAAAAGGACGGCCTTTGAAAGTTGAGAACACCTCAATCTTTCGATTCAAAATCAAATTGGAATTGCCTCACAGTAACAGCGTTTCTGGCACCTGGCTGCAGTAAGTAATTCAATTCAAACAGTGATGTCACCATCTGTCCACAAAATTCAACTTTCTCACCAGATACATTAATTAGGTCACAACTCACAAACTTTCCAACATTCGAGTAGAAAAAAAATAATGTATAACAAATCTCTTTTAAATTCAAGAATCTTCTAAGATTGACACTTTTTCGATAAAACTAACCAAATTTGAAAACCTGAAAGCATAAAAACTTAAAATTAAACTTCCTTTTCGAAACTAATTCGAAGAAGAGTTTGCGCAATTTACTCTTTCGTTACTGTAGACCGTAATCTGCTTTCCATGTAAAGGCAAATGAGCATAAATTCACCACATAAAAAGCTGACAAAAATCAACAACAAAAATCAAATTTGGGAGTAAACAATTTTTCAGAACTTCAACAGCAAAAAAATAACACGACCTATACAGTGCTGATTTAAATTATCCGGACAAAACTTGAATTTTCAAACGCATTTTTCTCAAATTGGGTTAAGATTTGACAAAAAGTGAAGAGAACAAAAGTTGCTTAGAAGAGTGAAAACTTTTTCTCTTATACTGGTTTTCGGAGATTTAACCCTTCTTAAACTTTGTTGAGCTGCGTAAGAAGCTTCCTGTGATATAATTTTCTTATCAATTAACAAAGTAGTTTCAGCGTAATTCTTGATTAATTGAAAAAAGCCAAAATGACCCATTTTTGGGGTAAATTTTTTGTTGAGAATTTCGGAGAAAAAATGGCATCATATTAATTCTGGTGAAATTCTAAGCAACTTTTGTTCTCTTCACTTTTTGTCAAATCTTAACCCAATTTGAGAAAAATGCGTTTGAAAATTCAAGTTTTGTTCGTTTTGTCCGGATAATTTAAATCAGCACTGTAAGTCATTGACATTTTTGCAAACAAATTCGAAAAACGGATAATTGCAAAAAAAACACAAAATACATTTTTGAAAACTGCAATATAAAAGTCGAGATACAAAACCTCTATAAGAAACATAAAATACAGAAGTAAAGCGCAGCTTCGCGCCACGAGCCATACAACGGAAACATGACACCACAAACAAACCGACGGTAAAAGAGACAAAAAATACGACGATTTTTAGGGAAAACTCGAAAAAGTTTTCGAACAAAATATTTACCTTTATTTTCAATAACTTACATTTGAAATATATTCAACAAGACAATTGAGCTTTAAATTAGCAACAAAACAAACTTTAAAAAGCAGTAACAAAACCGGCATTATCTGAGTTGAGTAAAAAAAATTCTCAGCCCCCCTCATGAAAACATTTAGACTAAAAACTTTAACTTCAGCCCTTAAATTAACTTGTTTGTTGAGTTGATGCTGTCTGTCTTCTCTTTACTCTCCAGGATATCCTACTCGATGAGCAGTACTGCTCTTTAGGATCTCCCACCAGACATAATATATTGCTTTTGGCGTTGTATATGTAGCTGTGAGTTAAGATATAAGCCTAACTCATAGAGTAATTTCGGATAGGGTACACCGTCTGCTCTTTACGCTATCTTATTTTCGGCCGGATAGATTCGTGCAACTTCTTAGTCTAATACCGATCCTAATCTTACTCTTATATTTACTAGTCTCAGGTTGTTTAACTAGTCTCTGCTAGGCTCAATAGATCTAGAATATACTGGTTTATTGCGGCTGCTGAAGATCTCGAGGAGAGGCAACTAATTTCTAAGTTAAATTCAAATCTCTCTGGTGCTGAAATTACAAGTAATTTCAGCACTTACAAATAAGTGGGTTGTTAGTTGGATGGATTGTGATTGGTTAATATTAAATATTTTAGTGGTAAAATATCTAATTTATAAATAATAAAATGTAGTTTAGATCAGGTTCCAGCTGGTAAATTTCAAAAACTGTTTTCGCTTATCATACAGCTCAAAATTAGGTCGTCATGCCGATACTATTTATACCGAAACCTTTAAAGCCGACTAAAGACATGAAAACAAATAAGAACTACAATACTGAAACCGGAGTTAGTAAAATTAGAACCAACAAAAAATATAGCCACCAGAGAACAAATGGAAAAGATGATTAAAACAGTGAATATTTTTCATGTTTCGCATCTCGAAGAAAGCAGCATATCACAATTAATCACTTAATCAAACCACTCGCTAAGCGCACCTTTCCCGATTGTCTTGAAAAATTGAAAAATTCGTTTTTTATGTGAAACAAGGAAAAATGAGCATCAAATTCTAGAATTTCAAGTCTTTTAAGTTCGCCGAGCAACATTTTTGAGAATGTCTTGATTAGAAGCGAAGTCAAACATTAATTACAGACTTTATGGGGATTCTGACTAAGCAATTAACAGGTCATGTGATCTCCATTGCCCTTAAGAAAGCGTTCGATACACTAGATCATCAAACACTAGAAAAGTTGGAGTTCCATGGTTATAAAGGAGCAATATTTGAAATAAAGAAAAGCTACTTAGTCTTGCAGGGATCATTTTTAGGGGTCTACCTAAACAAGCCGACGGGACTTCAAGCCGAAGGGACTTCAGGCCGATATTTAAACTTTACATACATACACCTCAAATCACTATTTTTTATCTGTAAAACGTTGCTTATAAAATTTTAGGCAAGTTTAGACCAGAATAACGATAGCCGGTTGCTGTCCAGGTAACACATATTTCCAATCAAAACCGTTTTTTTAAAACAAATTGTGATGCTTTTGAAATGAACAGATCTGAAGAAAAGCCCGCAATTAACAGAAAGAGTACAACGCGCATATTGGACCACCGTTTTCATTAAAAAAAAATCGAAAAGATCAAGATAAATTGCAGATTTTTGTCGTTTTTTTTTGCTGTAAAGAAGCTTAGAAAATAAAAATTCATAGAGTAAAACTAAAGTGGTATGTCTTATTTCCATTTTTAAAGCTTTACTTGTTTTTCGCTCAAAATTATAAATAAAGCCAGTTTTTCTATACACAGGATTTTTTGAACATTTTCGACTAGGGTTCGAATCACGACCGCGGGATCTTTTCAATGATATATCACTCGATCCCTTCCGACATTTATTGATGGTACCTGATATTGTGTTGAAAACAAAAACATAGGCAACAAACAAAAAAAAACAAAGTCAGTAGGAAAAGAATAGCCAGATCTATTTAATTAGGTGGGAAATCTGAAAATTCAATTCCACTTTCAAAACTCGAAGCCGCTCAAATTTTTTTTGTGCCCTTCTGCTGTTCGAAAACAGAGCATACTATCAATGTTCAATTAAGTGCTTTCGCACTAATTTGTGTGCATCGTCAGAAAATCGAATCATCTGCAATGGTACTCATCATTGCAAACCAGTTCATCGACTCTTAAAAAAAAACTAGAACACACCCGAAAACAAAGTTCCTCCCGACTTTCAGTGATCTTCTAGTTTTTCCTAGTTAATTCAAATATATGCCTTACACTTCGTCACCTTCATCTTCATCATCGTCTTCCTCTGGATCCATCGCAGGTAATGGGATCTTCGCAGTCTTTGTTTCATCTGATTTAGCAGCTTCAGGCTTTTTGCTCGGCTCAGGCTTGCTTGATACCTAAACAATAGTTAGTTATCAGGTAAACTTTTTACACAGACGCGAAGCTGAGCTTCGCGCCACTTGCGATACAAAACACGAAAGCCACTAAGTCAAAAAAATCGAAAACTTCGAACTATATCTACCGATAAGGCTTGGTAAGAATGTGAAACTATCATCGGAAGAAAAGCTATCACGAGGTAACAAAGCCGGAAAAACCTTAGCAGAAACCCTATAGGCCAATTATTTTTAATTATCAAGTCCCCCACGCCATCAAACAAACCAAAAAACACTCCCCCACGCGTCAAATGAAACAATATGCTGCCACTATGCCGATAAAACATTGGCCAAAATCTAAAAAGCCAGAAAAAAGAGAAAAGAAACAAAGCCGAAAAAAAATATGACTACTAAAAAGTTATCAAGTCACCCTTACCCTTAAAACACATACACAGCTCGCGAAACGACGCAATACATGGCGAATAAGCCGATAGAAACATAAGCCAAAAACCTATCAAGCCGGAAAAAAAGGAGAAGAAAAATCACAAAAAAATACAAATTTCTAAGACTAATGTAAAATTATTAAGTTCCCCTCACTCTTAAAACACAGACACGCAATATGAGGCCATTAAACTGATATATTATAGGCCGAAACTTATCAAGTCGAAAGAAAAGAAAAACAAAAAAGCCAAAAAAAACGTTATGAAAAACTTATGAAAGAACAATAATTTCCAATAAGGTTTTAAGCATTTTGTGCGATCGAGAGAAGAACATAAAAATTATGTTTCTTTTGAAACCACTTGAAATTAGGCCACTAAGGCTATATGAAATAGAGTCCAGAAATGAGTCCTGTGGACAAAGTTGTTTAAGGGGAAAAAGTCTAGCGCCCGATTGCAATGCCCTTGCTATCGCAAGGGTAATAAGCAGTCCACTGAGTGAACCGCTTAAGCTTCGTTAAGATCGAAAATTACAGAGCAACCATAGGTTAACCTCAGTACCCGTAGAGCTCCACTAAAAAAACAATAGCTGTTTAATTACCATTCAAGATAATGTTTTCATTAGCTTGCTTATTTTTAGCATTGAAAACATATATTTTGAGCAAACTGCACATTTCAACACAGAGGCGAAGCATAGCTTCGCTTGAAGTCAGACACAAGCCAAACATTTCATGTCATAGTAGCCGATCGAAAAAGAGACGAAGCCATTGCATCCAATTTTTCAAGTCAAAAAAGCTACATCTATCAAAATTTTCACATGTTTATTACATACTTGTCCAGAAACAAGTTCTTTTTGAGAAAAAAAATGCCAAGTGAGACAACTAGAGATTACTTCAGATTACCATCGCAAAAAACCTTATGAAGCAGTAACAAAGCCGACAAAACTTGAGCAGACACCCGTTTTCATTATAAACAAACTCGCGAAGAAAACAATTTCAATCTTCCTTTGAAAACACCCACGCAGAATTTTTTTCGCATATCTAACGACGCAATCTGAACCAATAGAAAATAAAGTTAAACCTTTGTAGCCAAATAAATAGAAAAAAGACGAAGAACTGAAGTTATACAAATCGTAGTTAGTAAACTTTCACATGGAAAAAACCTTGTTTGGATTTCTGGATTTCATTGTGCTTATCAGTTGTTGTGCAGCAAAAGTTGGGAAACGATAAATCACCAACCCGACTGAATAAAACTAGTGATTCGCAAAGAGTGTAAATTATTTCAAGAGTTATAGATAGAAGTCAATTAATTTTTGTTAAATGCGGTTTTAAATAAGTAAATCAGTTCAATTGTAGATTTAGTTCAAGTAGAAAGCTGAGATGTCTTTTTTAAGCTTCAACATCAGTAGTTGAAGATGCTGAAAAAAAACTAATATTTAACCCAAATATAAGTGAGGCTACCTTTGGTTCTTCGATTTTCTTCTTCATGGCAGGAGGGGATTTCTCCGCTCTCTCTGGGCCTTCGACTTCGCTGTCTTCTTCTTCTTTCACCAATTTCACAGGAGATGCCGCGCTTTCTTCGTCCATATCTTCTTCATCGTCCATACTCGCATCATCCATGTCATTGACAAACTTGGTACTCTGAGTTCCCATGACGTACACTGGACCATTTCCTTTTTTGAGAACAAGCTTGAAGTCTTCTGAGGTTTTCAGCTGGATTTGAATAGTGTCCGTCACTCCTGGTGTAACAGACTAACAATGTAAAGACATTCTTCATAAATATTGGTTACTATGAAACGATTGCCTCACCCACCTTTCTGCAGGACACAAAAAACACTGCTGACATCTTCTCCATCAACGTCCGTATACTCTATGTTTACAACATTCAGCTCCCATTGTTTGCTGCTATCACCAAGGAAAACATAACTGAAGCTTAAAATGCGCACATCTTCGTCGTCACTTGAAGCCCATTGTTTAACTTTGTTGGCCTTGTCAAGAGTCGCACTCCAGAGATAAAATCTTTCCATTGCAATGGATATCAAACTCACTTAAATATGAAGACAAACACTGTTGCATCGAGCTTTTCATGTACGCTATTAGCAAGACCATTTAAAAAGGAGAAAGAATGTTAATCGTTCCAACCGTAACACACGGCGAGAGAAAAAAGCGCTTAACGCCATTGGCTGAAAGCTAGAAAACAAATTGTGCCATTCTGCCAGACTGTCACAGGACAACCTTCCGGCAGAACACGAAAGAACAGTTAAAGGCCTTTGTAACATTCGCCCGGAAGATACATATCGACGGATAACAAAACTAAGTCTTAAGACGACTGGCTAGCGTCTAAACAGAGCTTTGCATGTTTTTCACCGTCTCTACCAAGCCAGTACTTTTCGGTGGTCTTTTCCAACATCGGGTCGACAAAAACGTTACTGCTCTCCGGCTTCGACCAGAACGCTCAAATTAACTGAATTACATGCAGAAATAGTGAGCTCATGGCTGGGTCTCAGTATCCCCAGACCACGAGGTCACTCCTAAAAACAGGGCTACTAATTATTATAATACTATTGTTTTTGTTCAGTAGATAAAAATCATCATCTCCATCGAAGATGGACCAACCCTTTCCCCCCCCCCCCCAACTCTTAGCACCTCATCCCTGCCAAAACTAATCCAAATATCAGTTAAATTCAAGTCAGGACATGACAGGATGCTAAAAGTTTATCAGAGTCAATAAAAGTTTCCGTCCCGAGACCCTTCCGGATTCTTGAATCCGCCGAATCAAGCTCCTTAATCTCAAGTTCACAATAACTCGGAAGGTCGGTTTTCACCCTTCACCGTTGTTCGCAACGGCCTTGCAACTATTGTAACAGCACAATAGTTGCAACTCGGAACGTCCTCTGCTGTTCTGTAGTTCGTTGTTGTTTTTTAGTCTCGATTTTCGTACTGTTCGCAATCGCAGATAAAGTTGTTCTCTTTTTTCACTCGTTTTTTGTTAAAATGGCCGTTTCAGCATTTCTCAGAAATGTTACGTCATCACTTCGAAATCTTAAAATTTTAAAATACGGGAATATCTTGACCTTCACCGTTCTGCTAATCATCCGAATAACGTCGTTAATCCCTCTAAATCATTAACTCGGAAGGTTCACTGCTAAAATTTCAAAGCCTGCAGAGATTGCATTTTGGCCATTCTGGTCTAATGTCACATACTCCCCGGACAGTCCGGTCAATGTCCTCATTGAATCGCGCAATGTTCATAAAATGGTTACAGTGCCATCGAACAGAATTTACAAAATGCACGAAATTACTCTTATCCACGTCATATCAACTCACTGCAGAATATAAATGGCATCATACTACATCACTATAGCCTTCAAATTCGTTCATTAATCTGCACATTGAGAATATGACCTAAGATAAAACATGTTTTCTGACTTCCAGTGTCAATGTCCCGATTAAAACTTTTTCTCTTAGAATTAAAAGGTGTTGGCTTGCAGGACAGTCCTGCCAACCAACAAGCTAAAATTATCCTACTATGCTCCTTCCCTTCGGAAATCTTGCTTGTTTATTGTCCTAAATATTAAAACTAAGAAACTTTGTGGTTAGAAAGAACAATGCACCAACCTCCCTCTTCAAGAGGTTACTCAAGTCTTTCATGTCACCACAAAGTGATCAGTTTTCCTAAGTGATTAAAAACAATCGTGCAGGCTGGAATATTTAAATATACTCTTTTCTCAAGCCTCTCTAAATAAATAATAAGTGTCTCTAAAGCCACTTCTGCTAAAATCAAAATGCAAATTTATAAATGCAACAATCTCAGAACTCAACAAAATGTTTCAGTCTTCAATTACAACTTGGTTGCTTGGTTTCTCACTTGAGTTTTTCACACACATAAAACAATTCTGAGTTTTGACTTTTCTTCATCATTCCTTTGTTCTCTTCTTTTTTCGTCGTTTAGAAGTTCTAAAACTTCTAAATTCTTCTAATTTTCTTTCTTGTTGCCTCTTGTTTTCTCGACCATTCATCAATGTTCCATTTCCTCCTCCTGCGATGCTGACTCCGCGCTTTCGGTTTCCGTGTCTTGTAGCACGTCGTTGACTATCCTGACGCTGTTGGAAGCCGTCCTCCAACACTTCTGCTCTTCTACCCTCTGTTTACAGCAAGGTAGGGGATCCACGTTGGATTCTCTGTTTCTACAGAAGCTGTTGTGGAGACACAACGTCACGTTTCTCTCCAGTTCTTCTTTCAGCATCTCTGCCTTCTCATTTCCACTACTTCACCCATCGACTCCAGGATGTCTTTTATCGCCGGCCATACTGCGTTTTCTGCTGTTGCAGGATCTCTGAGCCTGCTCAGAAAACCTCTACTATGTAGATGGTCATTGATACCAGCAAACACAATCATTATCGGGTTCATTTCTGTCTGTCTTTGTACCCCTATAGCCAATGACACTGATTGCAATAGGTCTAGGTCAACCGCGGCCAGCATTATGACGTCCGGCCAAAACAAAGACTTAGAGGTGTACACGAACTCTGAATTCGCTACTACCATGATCTTGGCCTTTCTCATCTCTGCTTTGTCGTAGGAAGCGAAGATGCTCTCATCTTTCTTTATTGCTGTCAATCCGCCATATCTCTGAGCATCACCATCTTGGTTCACTAGTTTCGGATACACTCTCTCCTTCACATGACCAGGTGGTGGCGTCAGTTGCCTGAATATCTTCACGTGTTGTCCAATCGGCGCTATCGCCGTCAGGAATCTTCCTGGCCTTTCCTCACGATTCCTCTCCTCATGGTTCAATCTGACATCCTGCAACGGTCTTGCATTCACAGGTCCCATTGTGTTATTGGAGGGCAGTCCCTCCAAGTCAGCAAATCTTAGGGCTGTCGTGGAGCTGAAATTTATGCTGGCGGCTATCAACCAGTCTACGCCGGTTATTGAGTATAATCTGCTGACGGATAGCGTCGCTCCATTCAGCATCCTCCTTGCATCTTCAATGAAGCTTACTTTCTGCAGGTCCAGCTTCATCAGTTCTTCTTTGTATATGTGCCAGGGAGACGGCATGGGTCTCGACCATAACAATGAGCCTCTGTTCGGTCTCTCCTCTCGACTGGTACTCATTGTCTCCGATCTAGTGTCCGATCTAGACGTGCCTGCTACTCCTTCGTTTGGTTGGTTGACGGGTCCTATCCTTCTCCTAGGATGAATGGTCCTCCTCGTCGGTGCTTCTCCCAACCGATCTTGCACGTCTGTTCTTCGACCCGGTTCGCTGGAGCTTTGTTGCCGGTAATTTATGACGGCTGGGACTGTACCCAAGCGTGTTTCCAGGTTAGGAGGCACAAAGGTAGTGATCACCGTATCATTCACCGTTCCCTCTTCCTTCAGTACTCCTGTGTCAGAGAGTTCTGCTTCCAACTCATCCAACCGTTCTTGGAAGACTCGATTCAACCAAGCTTGTGCCTCGATACTGTCAAAGTGGATGCCATCCGAAGTCAGTCTGGCTTGCTCCATGGCTCTCAATTCGTGTTCAATGTCCATAAGGATCATTCTTCCGGCATTTCGATTTGCTAGGTTTCTTAAGATGTTGTTCCATCTCATGACTCCCTCGTTGTGCCTTCTTCCTGATGCTGTCAGGCTTCTTGCGTTCATTGGCACCGTGCAAACGGTCAGTACCGCGCAACTGAACTTCTGCCAGAGAGTGGTGAACAAACACACCATCATTGATTCCCACAGTGCTTCCTGCTCGTCTGATCCTCTGGAGATATCATTCGTCCCCACTAATATCATCACACTGGGTATCTTCCCTGGATTCATCAGCTCCACCATCCGATATAATTGGGCGATTGTCGCGCCTCCAAAGGCCATCACCGTGGTGACCCATGAAGTCCTCAAATTCGTTAGCACTCGGACTAAGCTATCTCCCAATATCAGGTGTGATGTCCCGAGTGGTGGTTGCTGCAGGTTCACAGCCGGGCTCCAGGTAGCTCGATTGAAGCAGGCTCTCGGATCTGTCTCCGGAACTCCCGTGAAACTATACTTCAATTGATTATTCTTCTGCGCGTCTATTACACGAGATACTTTCTTCGCTGGCATCTTCCTTACTTTCCTCTCTGGGATTCTCGAACTCCCCATGAGTGGTGTCACGTCACTCATCCCTTGTCTGATCACTGTCTGGGGGAGTTGTACTCTGCCCGTATCGTCAATCGTTCCATAGGGTGCAGTCACCCCGGAACCTGGTGCATTCTTGTTAGCGACCAATCGTCCAGCTGTCTCTATCAGTCTTCTCACTGTCTGTTCTACGACGGGATCACCCAAGGTGTCACTAGGATCCGGGATTGTTACTCGATTCGTCTCTGCTGGAAGCCGTGTCTCCGTTGTTTGACTCATTTCTCGAGGTGTCAAGAGCTCCATCGGGGACTGCCCACGAGGAACATCCCTTGCAGGTATCACTTTCTCCACGGCCGTTGTCAACGCCGCCTGTTTCGATCGCTCTTTGTACTCCTGCCTTAAGCGTTCGATCTCTTGACCTTGCTTTTGGTTGCAGTCTTCAAACAACTTCCTCCACACGTCCCGGTCTTCCTCCATCGCCAGCATTGTCTTCGTCATATCGTCTAACTCCTTCTCCGTTCTTTTCAGCCGATCGTTCATCTCGTCCAGATCTTGTATGGTTTGGTTCGTCTGAACCTTCTGTGTTACTTTCGCCCTTTTTGGTGGCACAGCTGCTCTCAGTGGTGAACCAGACGAGGTCGCCTCGCTGTTCATCTCCCTATGCATTCTCGTCAGCCCGGGTTTAGGCTTAGAGGGCATTGGCATCTCACCTGGTTGGTAAGTCCTAGAACTTCCCAACCCAGGCTCATTCGCCAAGTCACTCCCTGAGAGAGCCCCGTTTCTCCACCTCATCACTCTCATGTTCGGGCGGTCTAGTACTCCTCTTTCTCCATATGCTGCCATCAACAGGACTTCCGTGGGGCGGTCCCCACGGTTGTCGTGCCCCAAGATGTTGATCAGGGCGGTCAGCAACATGACCACCTCTGGGTCCTCCAGAGCGAAGTC